ATTCATTCATTCATTGATTCATGATATTTATATAGAAATATGGAAAGAAGTCTCTTCTCCTTATTTACAGCTCCAGCAATAAGCATTTGTTATATTATGAAAACTGATATTAGGATGACTCCAGCACATGCCAGAGAGGCTGAGCTACCCTTGTGTGACAAAGGTATTCCCAGGCTGTGCAGCTCCAGCCCAGCCTGTGAAGAATCCAGTGTGCATCCCAGAGAGGCCAGCTTGGAGACCTCTTGGCACAAGTTAAGGAGTCTCCCAGGTTAGGTGGCTTCAAATTGGGCTGCAGGGAAGCCTCTTCCAAGCTATTCCCACATTTTCCTTCAGGCTGCCGGGCTCTCCAAACTGCTCCCCAGGTGATAAGAGAGGCCAGCAGCAGGAAAGGACCCAAAACTCTTGCTTCTGGATGCTGCAGAAGAAGACTGAGAACAATCATCACCCACAGCTGAGTCTCAGGTTCCTCCTCTGAAGGCATCCAGCTTGGAGCTCTCTTGGCTCATGTTGAAGGTCTTCCAAATGGGCAGTCTTGAAGCCACTTGACCTGGTAGCTTTTTAGCCTGGGTTAGGAGAGAAGGTGAGACTTTTCCTATAGCACTTGTCCAAAGCAATTCTTTCCTTTGGTAGCCTAGTCTAGACAGAGAAAACCAGCCTAGACAGATAGACAGAGAAAACCAGGGAAAGACAGGAATGGCGAGAAAGCAAGAAGCAGGAACCTTGGCTGAAAAGCAAAACTAGGAGGGGGAACAGGCTAAGAAGAGAAGGTTATGAGTCAGATGGGGAAGCTGAAGAGCAGATCTTCAGAATTATGATCATGGTGTTGTTGATGATAGTGATGGCGATGACAATGATGATGATAATTTTTACACCCCACTTGCTCTGAAAGAAGGAACCAAATACTCTTTTTCGTCTGAATGTAGTATTTCCTTTTTCCAAATGGCAGCTCGCAAAACGTTATGGAAATATTTACATGATACTGGTTTGGAATTTGCCCATAATAGTACTGTCTGGATACCACGTAGTAAAACATGGGTTGATCAACCATTCTGAAGACTTCTCTGAGCGAGTAGAGACCCCCTTTTTAAAGACTCTTTCCAAAGGAAAGGGTAAGTTGTGAAATGTTCTTATTTTCCTTTCATTTATTTACTACAGGATATATGCTGTTCAGTCCAGCAAGGTTCAATGTGGCTTTCAAAACAACAACTTCAGAATAAAAACCATAATAAGGTGTAGTGCAACCCACCCCCGCCCCCCAGCAGTGCCTTAAGGAACAGCCCCAACATTCAAACCCACAATAGGCTGGCTGTTTATTTTAACTTTCTGAAATTATAAATGAGAGACATGAGCTTCTAGAAAGTCCTGAAAGGAGAAAGCTTTGTGGGCTTGAAAGCAAGAAGTGATACTTTTGTGTGAAAGGAGGAAGATGTCCTCAGATAGAGGGCTTTGAATTTGGACAAGCTGAGTAACCAAGATGCAGCACTCTGTTAAGGAGCCAAAAAAATATACTGACATAAAATATACCATCTCATTTCCAATCCATTCTGATAAATGCTACATTAACAGCTATGGATAATTTAAGTCTGTCTCATTCATGGGCTGGGGAATTGCTGAAGGCCACGTTGTGGGGACATAGCAAAAAAAAAAAGATTTGGCCACGGCGGGTCTGTGCCGTAGTTGTATGTGATACACATAAAAACTGGAGTTTCACTCACAACCACCATCTTGATTTTTTTGAACCCACTCTGTGGACACCCCTGAATGGTTAGGTACAAATGGGGACTTGGCCTCAAAGTCATCCATGGATTTTCACAAGTGATTTATGATGGTTGGGTCTTCTGGGAAGCATCTGAGGAAAGTGCCAATGGAAGGCTGGATTTTGGAGTTTGGGTGAGATCTGGAATAAAACCTGTACGAGTCTTGAGCAGCGCAGCCCCAGAGAGAGATGTTCACTATTCTGACTGTCCCCTGGAGGGGTAGTTGTACTTCCATGGTACTCAGAAGGACAGTCAAAACTGAGGAGCTGAGTCTTCCCCAGGTTTACTCAAAATTATGGCAGAGTATGATGGGGTCTCTAAGCTAAGTGTTATCTATGCAATGCTAAAAAGCTAGAGGGGCCTTTATGCAGCTGGATAGTCTACTGCAATGCGCTTTGCAGAGGTTGCCTTTAAAGACTGCTCAGAAATTTCAGCTGGCCCAGAACATAGCAGCCCATCTGATAAGTCTAATGACACTAGGAGCATGTGACACCAATACTGTAAACCTTGCTCTGGTTACCAGTTTAGTCCCATGTACAATTTAAACAATTTATAGGTAATGCTCGCTTAACAACCATTTGCTCAATGACAGTCCAGTTATGATGGCCTTTGGAGAAGTGTTTTATGACCCCCATGGTCATATGATCATGATTTGTGATCTTTTTTACAATGGTCGTTAAGCGACTCATGTGGTTGTTAAGCGAATTCTGGCAAAAAAGTCCATTGGGGAAGCTGGATTCACTTAACACCCATGTGATTTGCTTAACCGCAGTGATTTGCTTAATGACCATCATAAAAAGGCTGTAAAATCAGCTCTGATTTGCTTAATGACCAAATCGCTTAGCAACCTAAATTCCGGTCCCTATTGTGGTCCGATAGCAAGGACTACCTGTAACTTTCAAAGTCCTTTAGAGCTTGACAGTTGGCTTACCTGCAAGACCATCTTCTCCAACCTGCATCAGACTGACCTTACTAGAGCATTGAGGGAGAAGCTTTTCATGGTCCTACAGTTCTGGGTGGTGGGAGGAATGAAAGCTAGAAGGCTCTGCTTCTCAGTGGCAGCACTGGTGCTGTGGAACAGCCTCCATGTGGAGATCAAGCTACCCCTTCCTTAATGGCCTTTAGAAGGCTGTTAAAAACTGAGCTTGCTGGAGAGCACTCCAGTGATGCTCACAGTCTTTTATTCTTCATTGCTAGGTGATATGTGGTTGATCATATCATGACTGAGTTTATTTTTGTTTTACACCGTGGATGTTTAATTGTTTTCCTTGCCTGTCTTGAGATTGCAGTGGGGATGTAAATTCACTAAATAAATAACAACTAAAAGATGCAGCCCAAGCAATTGCAGTCTACTATTGAGCATCGGAATAGATGTATATAGTAGAGATCCAAGGCTTGATGCTGATGTCAGACTACATATTATGATGCAACGTCAACAAATGGAATTAGGAGTTCTAAGGGATAAAGCAGTGTTTCTCAACCTCAGCCACTTTAAGATGGGTGGATTTCAACTCCCAGAATTCCTCAGCCAGCCTTGCTGGCTGGGGAATTCTGGAAGTTGAAGTCCACCCTTCTTAAAGTGGCTGAGGTTGAGAAACCCTGAGCTAAAGTTACTGATCTTGAGGGTAGAGCCAGGAAAAAGAAGCCGTGTGTAACTGTTGTAGCTAAATAGGTATAAAATTGAATGGTTACACTGATTGTGTATAATTCTGATCAAGTGTCTTACAAATTAAGCTCCGCTTCTAGTATTCCCATGGATATCTCACTATTTTTTTCTTAGCAGCTGTTCAATAATGGTTTGCCACTTTCTGGTGTGTGTGTGTGCTTTTGTAATTTTCCAATCTAGTCTATAGCCCTGGGGTTTTCTGGTGGTCTCCCATCCCAGTACTAACCAGATGCAACACTGCTTAGCTTTTTAAGATCAGCCAACAATGGCTAGTTGTATAACTGTGCTAATAGAACATAGGCAAATTTTTCTACTCCTGAGCCCTGTGTATATGGGAGTGCATATATGCCCAACTATTTATCAATGTTCACTTCCTTTACTAGGAGGAAAGGAGAAAGCCATAATACTCCCTTTACCCTTGCAAAGAATGAGAGAGTTGTTTATTCATTTATTTCATTGATTGATTTATAGTACTGTGCAAAAGTTTTAGGCAGGTGTGAAAAAATGCTGTAGAGTAAGAATGCTTTCAA